CTGGCTCCTTAAGCCCACAGGCACAGTGTATCAGGTACTGCCTGTCCCTCGGGCGTGCTGTGGATGCAGGCAGGCAAGCAGGCGTACGGCCTCTCACCTCCAGCACGTCCGGGCCACCTTTGTCACACGCACAAGAAGAGCAAATGCATCATCCCTCAGCTGGTGCTGGGGTTTGCTGGAGGGGAGATGGAACAGGGCAGGGACGGGGCTTCTCCCAGGGTTTCACCCCTCTCAAAATCAGGCAATAAAACAGTGTTTCCTTCTCGCTGTGTGTGGGCACCATTTGTCCTGCCCCTCTCTGCCACAGAAACTCCTGTGGCTGCCTGGGATCTCTGTGTGTGTCCCTGCTGCGCTGGACCTTGGGGTTTTCCAGCCTTTGCCATCTCTGTATGTGCAGGAGGTTGTATGGGGGGGGTGCATGTGTGATACGGGGCAGGGGTGCACTGTGCAGAGGTGCAGCTGTCGACACCCATGCTTCCTCGTGACCAGAGGGGAGCTGCTTTCTTCCTGGGACTGTTTGCCAAAATATGACGCAGATAATGGCTCAGAGGCCAAGGGGGTCTGCTCGCACAGCCGTAGCTCTGCTGTGGTAACCACGTGTGGGTGGCATTTGCCTGGGTTGTTCTGCCTTGCTGGGAGGAGGCTGCGAAGCAGGGCCAGGACATCGCTGCCCACAGCCGCAGCCTGGCAGGAACCAGGCAGGGCGGAGGTAGAGCTCTCCCGGGCTCTGGGGGGAGCATGGGGCTGCTGGCAGGGCCCCGCTGGCTCTCCACGCACAGGTAAGTGCCCCGCAGGAACAGGGTGTCCGAGTCCCAGCTCCTGCCGGTGCTCGCCAGTGTCCAGAGGGCCCCAGGAGCTGTTGGGCAGGCGGAGATGTTGCGGCTTGTTTCAGTCTTTCTGAGATGCCAGCTGTACTTGTCGGGTTTCGCACATCAATAAAACTTATATTTATAGTGTACTGCCTGGACGCCTCCCCTCCCTGAGCAGCCGGAGGGCACGCGTGCGAGGGGAGATGCACGCACGCAGGGACAGCCACAGCCAGCCCGTGTCGGGGCGTGGAGGTGGGCGCTGGGGGGGACACGGGGCTGCACGTTGCTGGGGGCAGGCACGTCCTCCGGGCTCTTTTCTCTGTGGGACTGTTGTCCTGCTCCCTGCACCTGTGTGAGGTGGGGGTAGCTGAGCGCGGGGGGGGGTTCACTCCGGTGTGAGTCTTGTCCTTGCGGGCTCCTGTCGCACGTCTGGGCACGAGCTGGGGATGCAGAGCCACCAGACGTGTCCGGAGGAAGCCCCCACGTGCAGCACTTGCTGGGAAGACCCCAGGCCCACCTCGTCGCACCGCGTGTGTCCCTGTGTTTGGGGGGGGCAGGTGTTTTTCCTCGCCTCGTGCCTGCCCTGGCCGAGAAGCGGGGCTGTGGCCGCTCTCCCCACGCTCTCGGCGGAGCTGGCAGCCACCGCGCGCAGGGCGGGACGAGACAGGCCGGCGTCGCAGGAAGTTGCAGCTGCAAAACAGCCGCCTCGGAGAGAAACCCCTTCCTGGGACGAGGATGGAAGGAGGCAGCTGAGCAGCACCGGACTCTCCTCCGCCGTCCCCACGGGTTCAACACCAGACAGCACGAGCGGGGGGAGCCGTGGGCTCGGCCTCCCTGGCCACGAGTCCTGCTGGAGGTGAAGCCGCCGCTTTCGGCACGGCCATCGCTCCCGCCTCGCTCGGCGCCAGGCTCACCCTTGCCCTGGGCTCCAGGTCCCTGAACCGCCGGGGCCTCGGCCGCCGCACACGGAAGCAGGGAGGCAGGAGGCCGCGGTAACCGAGGGCTCCCCGGGGGGGGCGCAGCGGGTGGGTGGCGCGGGGACTCTGCCCTGGGCTGGTAGAGGGTGACGGAAAGGAGCCGGGAGCCAGGAACGGGACGCATCGGTGTTCTCTTTCTGCGAAGTCCCTCGAGGCCAAGACACCCAGGTTCAAGGTCAGCTCCGCTGCCCCTGCCCTCGTGCCTCAGTTTCTCTAGCTGGATGACACGATGACAGACTGCAAAAAGCTCGAGCTGTGGGGGGTGTAAGCGAGCTGCCGCCCTGCTCGCCGTCTCCTGGGGGAGGCCAAATACAGAGAGATTTGTACCCTGTCCCTTCCTGCTTTCTGGGGTTTACTTACACCCACCTAGTGCCTCAGTTTCTCAGGATTTGGGGGCTGTAAGTGCAGGCTCTGCTCCTGAAGGATCATCCTGCTGAGCTGGGGCAGGAGCCTGAACCAGCACCAGCACAGCCGGTTCTGCCAGACTGGACCGTGTCGGGGCAGGTGAGGCTGGGCAGGGCAGAGCTGCGCCGCGGCCCTGGGGAGCAGAAAAAAAAATCACTCTGTGCCAGGCTGGATGTGTTGCAGTGCCGAGGGACCAGCTGAGCCCCCGCAGCCCCCTGCCAGCCTGTGCCCCCCGCCTGCTGCTGCAGCCTCCCCGGCTGCTTGCCCTGGGCTGTGCCTGGCGTCCCTGCGTGCTGCAGCCCCCCGGGCCTGGCAGGCTCAGCCGCTGCCAAGGACACAGCGAGGGATGCCCGCCGCCGGCCAGCGCAGCTTGGCAGGGCCGGCCGCCGCGGGGCAGCCCCAGGGCACGCCGGTGCTGGACGGGGGGAAAGCACCACGCGTGTGGATATGGGATCACCTTTGTTTTCTGCCTTTCCTAAGTCTTTCCCTGCTGCCTCCTCTCTCCCAGCCCCACCACCTGGTTTTACAGGAGTTCATGGCAGTTTGGGGAGGGCAGTTGGTTTGTTCTAATGTCAAGCCCTGAAATGTCAAGCCCTTAAGCCTGAGAGGAGGAAGCCTGCTCCCTCCCCAGCACTTCTGTTCTCTGGCTTATGGTGATTTAGTCTAGACCAGCGACTTTTAGCTGCCAACAGGGAGCTTGTCCCCTGTTCCTTGTGCCCCCAGTGAATTAGGTGGCTGGTCCCAGCTGGGGCCCTGGGGTTTGGTGGTGGGTTTGGGGGGCAGGCAGGCTTGCCTGGCAGTGTGGGTCCCTCCTTGGGGCCCTGCTTTGCTGCCCTCTTGGCTGCAACCCAGCGGCTGCGATGCCTGTGAATGGTGTCTGAGGTGGGACATGCTTCTGGCAGCTCAGCTCTGCTCCAGCCACCCTCCCAGCCGGCCCCCGCGGCTCCCCGGGGTCGGGGGGTTTGCAGGGTCAGGTGTTGGAGTGGGTCATCCCTGATTCAGGCATCCCCGGGCTGGGGTGGGCGTAGGTACAGCCTCAGCCAGCCTGCCTCACGGGCTGTCCCCTCTCTTTCAGGTGAAGGATGTTGCGGGCCGTGCAATGCCAGAGCTGCCTGTCCTGGGGCACTTGGACACATCTGCCAGGGAGCAGGGGGACCCAAAGTGTGTATCTGTGTGCTGCTCCGGTGCCAGGTGAGCTGGGCTCTGTGCCTGTGGATCCGACCCCAGGGAAAAGCCCTGTCCCCGGTGGACATCCCTCCCGTGCCTGTGCACTCTGTGGGTCACACCAACAAGGCGTGAGGCCAGTGAGCTCAGTGGTGTTATTTCTGTTGGGCTGGAGGAGGACACCCCTGACCGTGTGTGTTCTTCCCCTCAAGGCACTGCAGGCAGCTTCTTTCTCAGGAAGATCCTTTGTGCAAGTGGCATCTCCCTCCCCAGGTACAGTGTCACGCAGCTGGGGCCTGGCCCATTCTGCCCTGTGGCCGTTTGCCACAGGACCTGGGTGGTTGAGCTGGCTGCCTTGGGACCGTCGGGGCTCTGCGGGCAGAGACACTGCTTTGCCTCCACCTAGAAAATAACCCAGATGCAGCTCCCTGACTGCTCTGAATTCTCTGCTTTGCCGCAGGTTTGCTGGGGATGCACAGCGCGTGGCTTGCTGACCTGCCTCCAGTTCCCAGCCCTGCCCTGGCCCCGGCCCTGAGCTCTCTCTTGGTGCAGGGGAAAGAAGGGGTCTGCTGGCCCTACCCAGCACTTCCCACAGCATTCGCTCGTGGTCTGACCCCCCTGCCCCAGGAAGGGCTTGGAGCTGCTGGCTCCTGCCCTCCTCGTGACACTCTCCCTTCTCTTGCAGGGGCTGTGCTCGCTACCAGAGAGGGTCCCAGGAGCGCTCTGCCCAGCCCAGCTCCTCTCGCCATGGCCTGTCCCATCTGAGGAATGTGGCCACTTCTGGTAAGCTTGCAGCCCTCTGCTGAAGAGGATAGAGGGTCCTACACAGCAGGTTGGAGGCAGCTGCTGTCCTGGGCAGCGTGAGGGTTACCAACAACTGCGGTCTGTCCTCCTCTCTGCAGCCACCTCACTGCAGTGGCTTGGGGCAAGCAACTTCCCCATTCCCCTGCCAGTGAGAAGCCTTTGTCTTGTCAAGCACCTTCCTCTTTCCAGATGCCATCAAGAAACACCAGAAGAGCCTGTCTGCATGGTTCAGCCACCAGCCCAATGAAGAGAGGCAGTTCGGCCCTTCCTTCTCGCTGGACGCCGTCCACGTGGACCCAGTGATCCGGGAGAGCTCCCTGGAGGAGGTCCTGAAGCCCTCGCCTGACCTAACCATCCAGAACCAGCTCCAGCAGCCCTGCAGCCAGGTTATCAGCCTCCAGAACCTTTTTGATGTGGATGCCTGTGGGCGGCAGGTGAAGAATGTGGTGCTGTACGGCACTGTGGGCACGGGGAAGAGCACCCTCATCAAGAAGATGGTGGTGGACTGGTGCCATGGTCGCCTACCCCGCTTTGAGCTGGTCATCCCCTTCTCCTGTGAGGACCTGTCCCATAGCCATGCCCCCATCTCCCTGCGGCGCCTCATAACCAAGAAGTACCAGCACCTCCGGGACGTGGTGCCTATGCTGGGCGCTTCCAACCTCAAGGTGCTTTTCATCCTCAATGGCCTGGAGCGCCTCAACTTGGACTTCAGTCTGGCTGGAACGGAGCTGTGCTGTGACCCCACTGAGCCGGTGCCTCCCTCTGCCATCGTGGTCAACCTGCTGCGAAAATACCTCCTGCCAGAGGTCAGTGTCTCTCTCCAGCTCCTTCATGCTGGAGAAGGGCTGGGTGTGAGCCCTGGGGCACTGCAGGCATGGCCATCGTGCTAAGTGCTTGTAGTCCGGCTTGGCTGTGAGCGACCAGGCAGCTCCGTTCCTGCAGGGACTCACCAAGGTGGTCTCATGTCACTGGTTTGTCTCTCTGGGATCTTTGGGGAGGCCTGGTAAGGCAAAGGCGGCAGTCTGCTGGGCTGCGGTCTTCCAGACTCAATGTATGTCTGGCAGGGGATGGGGAAAGCTCTTCTGTCCCCTCTGCCTGGGCCAGATGTGAACCAGCATCCTTTGGGCAGCAGCTTCTTGAACCCCAGCCCTTGGGTGATGCGATCCTTGTGTGGGTTATGCCCTTGGGACCCTGCTGAGCTTAGATCAAAGTCACAGAGGGAACACCTCCGAACTCACCCAGCCCTCTGCTTCCAGGCCAGCATCATTGTCACCACGTGCCCATCAGCGGTGCGCCGGATCCCTGGCAAGTATGTGGGCCGCTATGCCGAGATCTGCGGCTTCTCTGACACCAACCTGCAGAAGCTGTACTTCCAGATGCGTCTCAGCCAGCCTGGCTGCAGCGGGGAGGGCAGTGCAGGTAGCAGTTCAGGCGAGAAGGAAAACTTGGTGGAGATGTTGTCAAGGAACTTGGAGCGCCATGACCAAATAGCTGCTGCTTGCTTCTTGCCCTCTTACTGCTGGCTGGTGTGCACCACTCTGCACTTCCTCTACTTCACCAGGACGGCGCCTCCCAGCCAGACTCTGACTGGCATCTACACCAGCTTCCTGAGGCTCAACTTCAGTGGGGAGGTGCTGGACAGCACCGACCCCACCAAAATCTCCATGATGAAGTACGTGGCCAAGACGGTGGGCAAGCTGGCCTACGAAGGAGTGATGTCCCGCAAGACCTGCTTCTCAGAGGATGACCTGCAGCAGTGCTTTGAGGTGGAGATGAAGACTGAAAGCGAGCTCAACCTCCTGGAGGTCTTCCGCAGAGACGTATTCCGCTTCTTCCTCACTCCATGTGTGCAGCCAGGCAAAGAGCACACCTTTGTCTTCACCATCCCTGCTATGCAGGAGTACCTGGCAGCCCTGCATGTGGTGCTGGGCGAGAAGAAGACCCTGGCACAGAGAGTGGGGAAAGAGCTGTCAGAGGTCATTGGGAAGGTGAGCGAAGATGTCGCCGTCGTTCTGAACATCATCTCCAAGGTGCTGCCCTTGCGCTTCCTGCCCGTGCTCTTCAACCTGCTCAAAATCTTCCCTCGCTACTTTTCCCGGCTGAGTGGTAAGGAACGGGATGCTATTGCCCACACCATGGCAGTGGAGCTGTTCAAAGAGGAGGACTACTACAACGATGATGTCTTGGACCAGATCAATTCCAGCATCCTGGGCGTGGAGGGCCCCATGCACCACCCTGATGAGGCCCCTGATGATGAGGTCTTTGAGCTCTTCCCCATTTTCATGGGTGGGATACTGTCCCGCCGTAACCGTGCCATCCTGGAGCAGCTGGGCTGCTCCATCAAGAACCTGGCAGCCTTTGAGATCGCCAAGGCCATGAAAAAGACAGTCATCAGGAACAGCCGAAAGGGGCTACCCCCCTCTGAGCTCATGGACTACCTCTTCTTCCTGCATGAGTTCCAGAACGAGCGCTTTACAGCTGAGGCCATCCGCTCCCTCCGGACTGTGAACCTCTCATCCGTCAAGATGACCCCTCTCAAGTGCTGTGTCCTGGCGTCTGTCATGGGCGCCACGTGCCACGAGGTAGAGGAGCTGAACCTGACCTCCTGTAACCTTGACACAAGCAGCCTGAGGATCCTCTTCCCTGTCCTGCTGCGATGCAAAGCTCTCCAGTAAGTGCCACCTTCTTGTGCCCTTGGGCAGTGCTCAGACTTTGGGCTGTCCCTCACCTCTGCCCACCCCAGGGATGCACTAGGAGCTGGAGCGTGGCGGAGGCAGCCAAGGGCCTGCATCCCCTTGGTGATTCTCGGTGCGGGTTTAGGGGACTACAGCTTCCAACATGCAACACTCCTCGAGCGGCCTCGCTGGGCGCTGCGTGCTGGGATTTGCAGTCCCGACACGTCCTCCCCGAGGTCTCTTTGGGCCGCTCTCTGCAGCTGGTGCCCTAGGCTGGGCTGCCAGCCCCCCTGGCACACCCAGGTCCCCCCCTTTGCTCGGGCCCCCGGGGAGCTCTGCCGCTGCAAACTCCGGGCAGGAGGCTCGCAGCCCAAGGGTGGGAGGCTGGGCTGCGCGCAGGGCTGGGCTCCGTTCCAGTCCGCTTGTGGCACTGCAGTCTCCCTGTCGCCCAGGGGGTGGCGAGCCGTGCTCGGCAGAGATGGACCCGGCTGTGCAGCGGGGCTGTGCAGCGCTGCCTTCCTCCAGATGCTCAGGAGGGCTTGGGGGGGTTCCTGATCCCTCCTCAGCTCTGCGCCCACCCTCTGCGGACCCTGCACCCCCCCGCCTTGCTCTTGCTGGTGCTGGCTCTGCTGGCTGATGCTACCCGAGCTCTGGTGCGCTTTCAGCGTGCTCCCTTTTGGAGAGGAAGCCTTGTGTGGCCTTGCCTGGGGAGCCCAGGTAGCGTGGTGATGGGGAGGGCCAGGGAAGATGGAGAGAGCAGGGCTGCCAGCCCCACAGGTAACAGCCACTGTGGCCCTGCCACCCCCATGTCTCCCTCTGCATCAGTCTGCAGCTCAACAGCCTGGGCTCTGACGCCTGCAAGGAAATCCGTGACCTGCTCCTGCATGACAAGTGTGTGGTGAGCAACCTGCGGTGAGTACTGCCTCTGGCCGTGCATGAAACTGTCTCTGCTGCCCAGCATGTGCCTTGGCCCTGGGTCCCCCGCCCAGCCTTGGCATTGTCAAGCTTCTCTGTCCATAGGCTGGCAAATAACCCCGTGGGCGAGCAGGGGGCACAATACCTGGCTGAGGCACTAGCAGGCAACCGCTCGCTGACCCATTTGTCCCTGCTGCACACCGCGCTGGGGGACCGGGGCGCCGAGGTCATCGCTCAGCACCTGGCTGAGAACAGGCACCTCCAGGAGCTGAACCTGGGCTACAACTCCCTGACGGACGCAGCCGCCTTGCAGGTGGTGGAGGTGGCCAAAAAGCACGCGACGCTGGACAAAGTGCAGTGAGTTCACTCTGTCCCATCTCCTCCCTCCTGCAGGCGATGCCTCTGACCCCGTGTCCCTCCCTGTGGCAGTGAGCAAGGAGCCCCCATCTACCTCTGCATCCTTCCCCCCAGCCCTCACAGTGTCTTCTGCTCCTTTTCTCTCAACCTGCAGCCTGTACTTCAACGACATCAGTGAGGAGGGCAAGCGGGCGCTTCACAGCCTGCGCATGGACCGGGATGGCGTCAGGGCACTGGTCTTCCTTACAGCAGGCACCGATGTCTCCGACTACTGGTCCAATATCCTGAACGTGGTGCAGAGGAACCTGCCTTTCTGGGACCGCGAGCGGGTTCGACAGCACCTCACCCTCATCCTGCAGGACCTGGAGAGCAGCCGGAGACAGACTGCCAACCCCTGGAGGAAAGCCAAGTTCCTACGAGTCGAGAGCGAGGTCAAGAAGATGCTGGGGGAACTACGGCACGAGACCCTCTAACCTGCCGTCCGCCCACCGGGCCAGGGAAGGAGCAGTGCTGCTGGGGAGGAAGCCCTGGAGCGTGCCCCAGCAGCACATCCCCTGTGCCCTTGTCCGTGTGGCGATGCCCAGTGGCTGGGTGCTTCCAAGGCTGTCAAAGGTGCTGGGTATGTGAGGCTCAGCCCTCATCTGCGGGCGAGGCTGAAGTATGGGAGAACTATACAGAAAACCAGGCCAGGAGCAAACGGGACTTGTTCTTCTGGGCTTGTAGAGACCCAGCCCCTGCGCTGGAGCCACTGCTGGCCTGGCCGCAAGCCACAGCAGTGGCAGAGGGGTGGGACTCAGGGGGTTTTGCTCGTGAAAACTTTGGTAGCATTAAAGTGCACTGTTTTGTTTCCACTGAAACATGCTAGTGCCAAGGCTTGATCTCCTTTCTGGGCCCTTCCTGGGGAGGAATGCGGGAGGTGCTGGTGCAGCCGTCCCTCCAGCAGCTGGAGTGGAGGGCTCTGGCCCTTCCCATCTCACGGGGACAGGATGGGGCAGCCCCCTTCTGCTCCGACCCCTGACAAACCAGTAGGTCTTCCCCACCGTGGGCTGCCTTTGGGGGCGACTGGAAGCTGGGACACCAGGATCTTCCCAAGCCGGGTGTCCCAGGCCCTGCTCCCAGCTGGGCGAGGGCTGGCAGTGCCCTGGCAGGGCAGGGGAGACGTCGGGGCTGTTTAACTATTAAACCTGGGGCGTCTTGGAAGAGGCGGGGACAGCGGCTTCCCTGCCACTTCACCCTGTACCTTGCTCCCTCTCGCATTCCCTGCAGCCATGAAGCAAACAAAAGGTACGTGCCGGGGCAGTGGGGCTTCGTCCTCCGGGGACCCTTCACCACACGCAGGCCTCCAGGCCCTGCTTCTGCCTGGAGTAAGGCAGTGTCAGAGCCCAGGCAGGCCACGGGAAGGAGCCGGAGGCATCCAGGAAAATGCGGATGGACGTTGTGGAGGCACTTGGGTTTGGGGGTCCTTGTGCTGGAAGAGGTGGGGAGGGGTTTTATGGAGAGGTGCTCAGGGAAAGGCCTCCATCTCCATCTCCAGGCTCAGGCCAGCTTTCTGGGGGCCCTGGTGAGCCCTCTCATCAGTCTCGCAAAAGCCCTGTAAGCCCCCAGGACTCCTTCCTCTGCATGCAGCCGCCTGGCCCTACTTTGCCCCTGGTGTTGAGGACCTTGCTGGCCTCGGCAGCAGCGGGTGCCCGTTGGACCCAAGGAGCAGCTGTCCCGCTGCTTTGAAACGCAAGAGGACACTGGTGGCGGGGCCAAGGGCTGAGCTCTGCCCGGGCACAGGCTGGGGCTGCGGGGCTGCATGGACTCGGCAAACCCCCCTCACCCGGCATGGCAAGCTCAGCCTGCAGATGAGCGAGCCCTGAGTGCTGGAGAGCGTGGGGTCTGCTCCCAGCCCACCGCCTCCTGCACTGACCTCTCCTCTCCTTCTGCAGGGCTCGAGGGTGACAAGAAGTCCATCGTGTAAGTGCTGAGCTCCCCCTGGCCAGGGACTTCCCGGGGCTTGTGGTCCCACAGCCGAGCTGTGCGCTAGGGCACATCCTCAGCCGAGGTGATGGGAGTTACGGCTGCCAGCCCCAGCTGCCTGCCCTGGCAAGGTCTTCCCTGAGTTGTTAGCTCAGGAGAGATGTGGGGGACAGTCCAAGAGGGGGATCCCCTCCTGGGCTTTCCCCAGGGAAGAGGAGGCACTGGAGCTGTGGCTCTTTCTGGGAGGAATGGGGCTCACCTGGGGAGGGCAGGGGGAAGGCCGTGCTGGTGCACTAACATGGCCTCTCCTGCCCTTTATAATTTCAGAAAATTTGAATTTAACCCCAAAGATGGGATCGACAACCCTGCCTTGTCGCTGACTGAGGACATGGGTAAATACCCTTAACTCTCCAGGGCATCCGTGTGTCAGCATGGGGTCCTGGCAGCTGGGCATCAC